CCCCCCCCCCCCCAAAAAAAAAAATTAAATACAAATGTGTGGCTTGGGCATTGACCCAAAAGAAATGATCCCAGTTGCTTTAAACCTGACAGGGCCTTCAAGGTCCATTTTTGGGGCTTAATTTCGAGCCTAGGTAGTCAATGCCTCGTCCCCTAACTAAATTACTACTGGCCCAATTCCCTCGATCCAAGATAGATAAAGGCCCAGCATGTATCCCAAGCTCTCTTATAATTACTAGTCATATATCTTAAGTTCAACTATTTGTAAATAAGAGCATCCTTAAGTTTAATTAATTATGTTCCCTAATAATAATTTGAGGTGTGCCATGTTTAAACGGAATTCATAACCTATGGCCCTCATATTAGTATTACAACTTAGATATTAAATACTCGTAGTTATTATTCTTCTAATTATGTATACGTTCACGTAATATAATTATGAATTTAATTCTAAAAAAGAGACTCGAGGAATGCGTTTGCGCAACTTCAACCAAATTTTTCTTAATAAAATAAACAAAGCGTTATTAATTGTGGACATGTTCGCGTGACATGATTTTCGACGCGCCAAAAGAAAAAAGTATACGTACGCGTAACTCAATTCTTTAATTACGAATAAATCAAGTGATTAAAAGCGGTTAAAAGGAAATGCACATAGGTCCTAAATAAGTAATTGGACAACTTAAGCTGAGTAATAATCACTAAGCGACCGTGCTAGAACCACGGAACCCGGGAATGCCTAACACCTTTTCCCTGGTTAACAGAATTCCTTACTTAGAACTTCTGGTTCGCAGACCTTTAAAATAAAATAAAAACTTCCTCGATTTGGGATTTATAATAAACCGGTGACTTGAGACACCATAAATTATCCCAAGTGGCGACTCTGATAAATAAAATAATCCCATTTCAATTAATATCACTTTAATTGGTAAAACTCAAGAAAAAGATCACGAGAGAGAAAAAGGCAATCAGATAGAGAAAAAATTCAACAACATAAGAAAAACTAGCATTATTCTTCTAGAGTGAAAATTACTTTGAGATAAATTATTGGGTGGATTTCTTAGGTTCGAAGTCAAAAATCAAAGTATTCTGTGTGGTTTTAAGTTCGCGAGTTCAACTCAGCAGATTATAAATATTTTCTTTGTTGTGAAATATTACAAAAGATAACACTCAATTTCCTCTGTATAGTTTAAACATGATATATGAGATCTATGTCTTCTTAATGTCTGTAAATTTCCTTTATCCGTTGGTAAGTTTTTGTTAGAATTATTATTATTATTTTTTGCCATCTTTTCTTTTTCTCTTGTAAGATAGAGAAAAGTGGCCAAAGTTTGTTATTCCTTTGTGCATGTACCTTTAATATGTTAAAAACACTTTTATACTAATTCATGAATTTGGAGGTAAGATATAATGGGAGTTAACATGTTATTCTTAATTAGTTAAGTCTATATAGCTTGTAAAGCTCGGTTTTGTTTTGAATTAGTAAATCCAATTTGAGGTTGATAATATTAAATATTAATCTAAATAAATTGGTCAGATTATTTTGATAAGTCAGTGTATTAATCAAAGGACTTTTATCAAACAAGTTTAGTAAGTTGACAATTCTTTTTTAAGAATCCGTTGGGTAAATCTAGTATGTTTGGTCATGGTATTCAAGGCATTTATTTTACTCTTCTGGATATAAATTCTAAGTCATGGTCTCTAAGTTTTGAAATTAGTTTGTATTGACAATGTACTTACTGTTAAATAGATTTAATGAATTAAATTATTGAGTCAAAGAATTTTATATGCGATTTTGACAAACTGATTGTATTCTTTAGAGCAAGTTTATTTGTTTTAGTCACATATTATATTTATTTATTTTTAGATAAATATTTATTTTATTATTAGAACGTAAGATAAAAGTTCTATATTTTTCACAATGTCAACATGTGAATATGGAATCTGTTTATATTGACGTGTGCATTGCTAAAAGAATGGTTTCACATCATGTTTGATGGCTTCTTATTTGTTATTCATTTTTTTTTGTTGCTTTATGACAGATTAATGGTTTGGGATATATGTTTGTTCAAATATTATAGCTTGTTTGAATATGTGATCGTTGCAAGAAGTAAAATAATTAGCATGGTAAGAGTAAAATATTGGTAAGGTAGCGAGATGAGTCAAGAACTAATTTAAGACTCGTAGAAATAAGTAAAAAAAATTATGATAAAAATATAAAAAATAATTGAAATACTTTAAAACACTAGAAAAACTTTAGATGTACTTTAAATATTAGTCTATGTGTTCATACCCGAACCTTGGATTAATATGCTTAAGTAATAAAAGGGTCATGTGCGCATTCTCACGTCTCGTTGCCTTCAAATTTAAAATAATTATGTTTTAATCATGTGTACATTCTGTACCTTGGTTTAACATCTAACTTCAAAGAAATACCTTGTATGTGTATCACATCTGGGTCCAAACAATTAATAAAAATATAATAATTTAAGTGAAATGGTAATAGACAACCATAATCAATAAAATACAAGAATAGCTAAAAATTGATTTAAGCATTACATTAGTCAATAACGCGACCGTGCTAGAACCACGGGACTCGAGGGATGTCTTACACTTTTCCCTCGATTAATAGAATTTCTTACTCAGTCTTCTATTTTCGTAGGCCATAAGTTATGAGTCAAACCTTCCTTATGATAAGAGATTCAAATAAAAGTTGACTTGAAACACCAAAATCCAATTCCAAGTGGCGATTCTAATTAATTAATAATCCCTTTTCAAAACGTCACTTTAATTGAAAAAACTCTTCTAACTCAACCTCATAATAGGGTTGTGTGGCAAAAAAAGGTGTGACGATGGCTAAAACTAGGAGACTCGAATAGTTCATATTCCTTTGCCAGTATGAAAAGTAGGAGAGCTCAAAATGGTATACACAGTCTACTAAATACAACGGGGTGTATACTACAGAGTAAGACAGACATTAAAGATGAAATCTTGAGCTTTTATAAACAGTTACTGGGAACTTCAGCGGATCAAGTAACGATAATTAATCCTCAAGTAATGAAAGAAGGGGGATTGCTTAACAGGGAACGACAGATGTCATTGACACTAATGGATATTGATGATTCCAAGGCACCTGGTTGTGATGGTTTGAACGCGCTATCTTTCAAAAGAACGTGCTCATAATTGGGAATGATGTTACTTGTGCAGTTCTGGATGTCTTTTCCTCAGGTGAGCTCTATAAACCTATCAACTGTACATTGTCACCTAGATTCCAAAAATAGAAACCCCCTCTAAAATTACCGAATTTAGTCCTATATCTTGTTGCACCATACTGTATAACATTATCTCCAAAATTCTTACCAAAAGGTTACAAAAAGATGATGGATATACTGGTTGATAATAGTTAGTCAGCCTTTGTTCTAGAGAGGGTTATTATAAACAATATTATTTTAATCTATGAACTAATCAAAGGATATGGTAGGAAAGGAGTATCACCCAGATGTATGTTAAAGATTGACATGAAGAAAGCATATCATTATGTGGAATGGAAGTTTCTTGAACAAGTTTTCAACCGTTTAAACTTTCCCGAAAAGTTTGTAAAGTGGATTATGTCCTGTGTGACCATTGTGTCTTACTCTATTGTTATTAATGGTTTACCTGCTCTCCTATTTCCTGCAAAAAAAAGGTATGAGACAAGGAGATCCTATGTCTCCTTTCCTTTTTATACTAGCTATGAAGTATTTCACTAGAATTCTGAAGAATCTGAGAAGGTTGCCTGATTTTAATTTTCATCCGAAGTGTGAGAAGTTGAATATTATCCAGCTTAGTTTTGCAGATGATATACTATTGTTTAGTAGGGGAGACATGATTTCTGTTACTATGTTGTATGATTGCTTTAAAGAGTTCTCACAGGCATCAAGATTACAAGCAAATGTTGATAAGTGTCTGTTTGAAAAGTCACCAAATAATTGAAATTGGTGTAATTACTAGGGTAGTAATTACACAACATAGTAATTACATAGTTGTGTAATTACGACGATCTGTTTGTTTGTCGTAGTGTAATTACAAGTTTACTATTTGGTTGCACAAGTGTAATTACATAGTTAGATAAAATTTTAAATGAAATAATTATCAAAACTTAAAAGTTAATATAATAAATATATGCTTGTAATTTTTTATAAGTATAAATGATATTATATTTGGTATTTAAGATGTATATTTTTTCGTGAATATACATTAATTAGTAATCATATATTTATAACTAGCATTGTAAAAATAATTATATATATATATTTTTCAAGTTAATAATATTTAGTTTAGAAACTTACAAAAACTAAAAATATAAGTTTTATCAAAATATCGTGGAATTCATGTTTGATAAAATTAATTAATATTTATAAATATGTCATAATATTATTCAAATGTTTGACAAAACTAATCTATCAATTCTAACTAAAAAAATGAACAACATGCAATATGAGCCGATATTACTAATAAATTGAAACCATGAATATAACACAATTTCAAAATTAAAAAAAAAAAGTTTAACATATGTCAAATTCCAACATAATATAGTAAATTCCACTACAACTTAAGATTAGGAAACATAATAAGTTTATAATCACATTCAACATCGAAATTTCACTTTAATTGCATCACTAATTATATGCCAAATTTGTTAATTACTCATTATTTCTAATATCAGGAGGTGTAGTTTCAACAAATAGAATAATAAAAATAAATAAAAAATAAAAAATAAAATATAAGCAATTACATGGAATCACAAGAAGTAAAGGTAGAGAAATAAAAAATAAACAATGTACAAAGAAAATTATATTTTAAAATTACAAAAGAAAATAAAATTATAAAATTAAAATAATAGAAGTAAAAAGTTATAAAAAAATAAATTAAAATAAAAACAAAAAAGAAAGAAACTAAAAAACAACCTTGTAATTACACAATGCAATTACCACCAATTCTCACCTCCCTTTGAGAATTGAAGAGTGTAATTACACCCCTCCAATTACACCTAATTCCATGCTAACCAAGTAATTACTTGGCCAAACAAACATGTCAAACTATGTAATTACACCGAATTACACCCAAATCCATTTCCAAAGTGGCTTTCCAAACATGCTCTATGAGTTTAATCTACTTTGGAGGAGCTAGCTTTACTGCCCAGCAGGAGATTACTGATGCACTTGGGTTTGTAAAAGGAGAACTACCATTTAGATATTTGGAGGTACCTCTTAGTGATAAGAGATTATCAATAATTCAATATCAACCATTACTGGATAAAATGATGGGAAAGATAATTTTCTGGACTTCCAAATTTTTATCATATACTGGCTAGGTACAATTGATTAAGAGCATCTTGTTTACTATTCAAGTCTTCTGGTCCCAAATACTCATTCTGCCAAAGAAAATTATAAGGTGGGAAGTTCTTGGAGGGAAGGATGCCGGGTGTCTATTTGGAAACAGTCTCTCTACCCTAGGGTAGGGGTAAGGTCTGCGTACACACTACCCTCCCCAGACCCCACTAAGTGGGATTATACTGGGTTGTTGTTGTTGTTGATAGAAGTTATCTGTAGGAGATTCTTGCGGAATGGGAGTACTTCTTTATCTAAGAAAGCTTTGATAGCATGGGAAAAGCTGTGTTATCCAAGAGTAGCTGGAGGCATAAACTTTCTAGATATAAAAACTTGGTATAGGCCTGTCATTTGCAAACTTCTATGGAGTGTGTGGAAGAAAAAAGATAAGCTATGAGTGCAATGGGTGAATATATGCTTATTACATAAAAGAATAATCGGTATGGATAGCACAACCTACACAGGCATCATGGGTAGTTCAAAAGATTTTTGATGCAAGAAAATGTCTAGAGGCTGCTGGGTAGGGAGAGGATGATGTTCGACAGATGCAATCTTTCCCTATAAAAAAGATGTACTATTTGAAATTGAGAGGAGATTTTTTGTAAAGTTGACTGGAGAAGATTGATATGTAATATTTTTGGATGTCCAAAATGGTTTTTCATTCTTCACTTGGCTTCGAGTCTCCCAAAAAGCAAGGTGGGAAGTTCTTGGAGGGAAGGATGCCGGGGGTCTATTTGGAAACAGTCTCTCTACCCTAAGGTAGGGGTAAGGTCTGCGTACACACTACCCTCCCTAGACCCCACTAAGTGAGATTATACTGGGTTGTTGTTGTTGTTGTACTTGGCTTTATATGGCAGACTCCTCACAGAAGATAGATTGTCACAATGGGGAGTTATTGATAACTTGGTTTATCCTCTGCGTGGTCTAGCTGATGAAAGTCATGATCATCTCTTCTTTTTGTGTGAGTTCTCTACTAATGTTTGGAGTAAACTATTACAATGGCTAGGAATCTATCGAACTGTACAAAACTGGAATGGAGAAATCAGTTGGGCAACTATTCATAAGGGGAAAGAACATCCAAGCTGAGATCTTTCGAATGACACTAGCTGGTGCTGTATATCTTATTTGGCAAGAAAGGAACATGAAATTATTTCACAACAAGCAAAGAACAACAACAACAATCCAGTATAATCCCACTTAGTGGGGTCTGGGGAGGGTAGTGTGTACGTAGACCTTACCCTACCCTGGGGTAGAGAGACTGTTTCCAAATAGACCATCGGCATCCTTCCCTCCAAGAACTTCCCACCTTGCTCTTGGGGAGACTCGAACTCACAACCTCTCGGTTGGAAGTGGAGGTTGCTTACCAAAGAACACCTGTTATAATAATCAGGCAACTCATAGAAGAAGTATATTGTAGGGGGACAATGAAGAGTAGATTAGCAAGAGGTTTGGAACGGTTTGATTTTTATCCTAGTTAGATGTTGAGCTGATGTAATATAATAGTACAGCAATATGTTGGTTAGAAGTTGCTGGGATTAGAAGGTTTGGGGCAATTGTCCAAATCTTGCCTTTTGTTTTGTACTGTACAGTTATACTTGGTAATAAAAGTTTTTTTATTTACCAAAAAAAGAATTGTACCTTCTAGCGGCGACCTGCTATGGACTTTAGTGACGACCTACTTCCACACTTTTAGTGGCGATATTACTTGCCTTTAGTGGCGACTGTGTCGCCGCAAAAGCACTTTTAATTTCTATACTATATGCTATATGTACAAATACATTTAAGTATTACTATATATTTTTCAGATCACCGTTTCTGCTTCTCCTTCACCCAACACCAGTGAACATTTCCCCTCCTATTTTACAAAGAATTTCTCCATAGACGCTCTCTATCTCTCTCATTTGCAGAACCCATTGGCGGATTTGGTAAAATAATCTATTTATATTTCTATTTGTTTCTATATAATACTTTGCCGAAAATATCCAGTTTTCAGCTCATAATATTATTGCAGAAAAAATACAAGTTGTGAGATTGGAAGGAAAATGGGGTTCTTGGTAACAACTCTAATTTTTATTGTGGTTGGAGTTATTGCATGTTTCTGCGCTGGAATCTGCTGCAATAGAGGGCCTTCCACTAATCTGTATGCTCTAATTTCTTACAAATTCTCTACATTACCTTCACATTGTTTTTTTTGGGCCTATTGTTGTTGATTATTCTGCGGATTGCTTGATTAAACCAGCTTTATACTCAGAAATTAGTGTCTGGTTAGAGTTTTACAGATTCACTTTTTACCAAAGTTAGTAACTTTTTGTTTTAATTGAATGTTAATCAATAATTCTGTCCCAATTTATGCGGCGCTCTTATTTTTAGTTTGTGCAAAAAGAATATCAATCTTTCTATATTTAGAAATAATTTAACTTTAAAATACCCCTTTTTACCCTTAATGAGATTGGTTACAACCACACAAATATCTAAGGCTTGTTTTAGACCACAAGAATCAAAAGCTTTTTTTTTTTTTTTTTCTTAAACTCTGTGCCTAGTCAAATGATCCCATATAAATTGGGACAGAGGACGTATTATATGTTAATCCCTTATTGACATATCAGAAATGGAGTACTGTAGTTCTTTTCCATGCTTCTTTGATATTGAATCAGTTGTTTATTTTGTTTCTTGCTTAGTTTGATTGGAGAAGTCTATCCATTTTTTACCTTTTGTTATGGTGGTGTCCAGGCAGCTTTAGCGCAGCTTGATTATTCTACCGAGTGCTTGCATCTTTTTCACCCATACAAAGTATACTCTGCATTTAGGCGGATTGGAAATCACCAAGATTTTTAGTCTGTATCCGGTGATAATGTTTTGAGCACAAGATTGTTGAACGATTTGTGCTGCAATTTTTTTAATCCTTTGATCATCTCTGATCTGGAATAGCGAAATTTCTGAATAGATTTGAGATAACAGACACTCGGGAGATATTATGACAGGAAAACGTCAGAGCATCAACTTCACCTATGCTCTTCTGACTATCATGACATTGAATAAACCTTCAAGACTTAAGCTTTAAAATTTCACACATTAATATTCCTTACATTGAGGTCCCTCATGTTTAAGTTCTAAGTTAATTTAATTCAAAATGCTATATGTTTTATGTGTTGCTTATAATTGGATCAAAGGCAGCACAAAATTTCTAAATTCCCTTTTTTTTAAGGCTTCCTTAGAATACTTTGTAATTTACATGATTATTAGTAAGTCAAATATCAGTTTAATAGCTTAAATGGTCCCATTATAATCACTTCTTTGCTCAAACCTCCTAATGTTAAGATTGCAACTAACAAAAAGCATATTCTTTATAGAGTTAAGTATTTGAAGATCAGTAGAGAACAAACCATTTGAACAGAAACTTTGAGCTCTGTTGCTACATCTCTAACTGAAGTTTGGTGGTGCAGGTTACACCTGACATTGATTATAACTGCTACAGTATGCTGTTGGATGATGTGAGTTTCTCTATCTCTATCCCCCCCCTCTTTCTCACTCTCTGTCATTCACACACCACACTCAGACACAGAGCGAACAAACCCCCACGCACAAAAAAGGAAAAAAGGAAAAAAGAAAACACATTCTTAACATGCGTGGGGTCAATAGAAAAAACAAGACATGGTACATGTTGCCATATTTCTTGAATGTTGAAGCATGACTTCACGTGTTTGACCTGAAATGAGAAACTAGTTAAGTCTTATGTATGCGGAAAAATCAGAAGGTCTAAATTCTTGCTATCGAGTCACTTTAGAAGAATACCTCGAGACCACGAGGACGCGAAGCTGTGACCGAGTTCCCTCCCTCGGAGCTCGCCGAGGTCCGACTTAAAGAGGACGTAGATCGAGGCTAGAGTAAAATGGGGAATTCCCAAGGCACACGGCTAAGTCTGACAAAGCCGACCTACCCTAGCCTGTATAAAGGCGTCACTTCTAGCCGTCCCATCTCCATGCTTTTACAATTAATGTATTTTGTACAATGGCGGGATTCCCCTTCTATATAAAGGGGATCCTCACCACTTTGTAAGGGGCTGCTATTGCTCCAACTACTCTACACAAGATCAATAACATCTCTCTTTTCTTTCTAACTTACTCGCTCGAGACTAAATCTTTTATTTATTGCTTTCATACTTGTTCTTCATTTATTGCTTGATATTTGCCATAAAGAGCCTCTTCCAATTATATCCTGACTGTTAGCCCCTTCCCGGTTATCTCCGATAGCTCGAGCTCGAGCCCAGGCGTCGACCTCGAGGCCCTTCATCAGCTAGCCCGAGGCCCGGATAGCTAGCCCCTCGGTTTGATTATAATCCTGTTTCAGTTCGTATTTCGTCGTTAAGCTTCACATATCTAGTATCAGTTGTTCTAACAACTAGCATAAAAATAGATCACGTATTTTTAGAGTCCCATCAACAAATTTAATTGTTATTACCATTTTCACGGTAAACAGTTTGGCGCCCTCTGTGGGGCTAAAAATAATAGTGATTATTTTCTTGCTGGTTTCGTCACACAACACAAGTTATCTTTCACACTTCTTCTTGTCCAAGATCTTCGATTTCAGGTCAAAATATCTGGCTTAGTAAACAGAGTCGAGAGCGACAACCTCGAAAACCACGGAGAAAACGGTGTGGTTGTTCTAGTTGTCGGTGCACTGCCGCAGAACCTCGATAACGCACCTGGACCGATTCCAGCGGACGCGGATTCGCAAGACGCGCAGCGGGTCGATGAAACCTCACACACCAACAGGAGCATACGACATGGTGACCAATAGGAAGCCCAAAAAACCCCAGCCCGAGAAGAATAGGAAGTTAGTCTTCATGTTATTTTTGAAATGTTGCAGGCATAACAGTTGGCTATCGCTCAGTTGCAAAGCCACCCGAAGACTCCCAGCACAGTAGCATTGAACACTACTCCCCCGGCCGAACAGGTACCGAAGAAATCGAGCAACAATGGATCAGTAGCCGATCCTGCCATCGTGAAAATGCTGGAGGACCTCACCAAAAGATCGAGTCAGGCGAGAAAACGATAGCAGCTAACGGCAAGAAGGTCGAAACCTATAACTTCAGAGTCGACCAAATCCCAGGCGCACCCCCAGTCCTGAAGGGTGTAGATTCAAAGAAATTCGTACAACGGCCGTTCCTGGAGGAAGCGGCTCCGAAACCCATTCCAAAGAAGCTCGGAATGTCGGAACTCCCAAAATACAACGGGACCTCAAATCCCAACGAGCATGTCACTACCTATACGTGCGCGGTAAAGAGCAATGACATAAAAGACAACGAGATAGAGCCCGTCTTACTGAGGAAGTTCGGGGAAACGCTCTCGAAGGGGGCCATGATGTGGCATCATAACCTAGCTCCTAACCCCATAGATTCATTTGCCATACTGACAGATTCCTTCATAAAGGCACACGCCGGTGCCATCGAAGTAGCAACAAGAAAGTCCGACTTATTCAAGATTAAGCAAAGGGAGAATGAAATGCTGTGAGAATTCGTATCTCGTTCCAGACGGAACGAACGGAACTACCCCTGGTCTCTGACGACTGGGCAGTGCAGGCCTTCACTCAAGGCCTGAATGAACGAAGCTCGGTGGCTTCAGGACAGTTGAAACAGAACTTGATCGAGCATCCAGACACGACCTGGTCGGACGCCTATAACCGGTACCAGTCGCAAATCAGGGTCGAGGATGACCAGCTGGGAGCCCCCTTGGGCTCAGTATACTCGAGCAGGCTCCTGGCAAAGAAACCGAAATCGAACAAAGAAAGATACCAACCCTACGCCGAAGATAGGAGGAATGTCGGAGAATGGATCGAGGACAATATCCTCGAGGGCTCATTAACAGAGCCAGGGTCGACGGAGACGCGAGGCCAACGGGGGCACCTCGCCTACCAGAATATAACTTCAACGTCGCTGTATCAGACATTGTGTTCACGATCAGCAAAATCAGGGACACCAAATGGCCCAGGCCTATCCAGTTGGATCCTTCTCGGAGGAATCACAACTTGGTACGTGAACTTCATAATACACACAACCATAGGATCAGAGATTGCCACCAACTCCGCAAGGAAACAACCAAACTACCCAATAAAAGTCACCACCGAGGATTTTTGAGCAATCGAGCTCAAGTTCAGTTCCGAGAAAGAAAGGCGGCCAAGAAGAACGAATCAAATAAGCCGCGACATATTACCATGATATTGGAGGAGCGCCGACACTCTCCAGGAACTTGTGAAGAGGAGGACAAAAATATCCATCACCAGAGAAAACGGACCCGGGGATACGTACCCGAAGATGCCCTCACATTCGGGAAGGAAGGCTCCGAAACCTCGCCCCAACCTCATAACAACGCACTGGTAACCTTCTTCCTCATTCGTTCATTTCAAATAAAACATGTGCTCCTGAATTCAGGTGGCTCGACCAACATTATCGGGTCGAGGGTGATAGGGCAGCTCGGACTGCCAGGCCAAATCATGCCCGCCTCTCAAATCCTTGGCGGGTTCAGCACGGCGATCGAAACAACGAGAGAAGAGACCATTTTCTCAGTCAGCATGGCCGGTGCAGACCGGAACGCCAAGTTCCATATCGTCAAAGGAGACTCGAGGTATAAACGCCTTGTTCGGACGGCCGCGGACGCACCGCTTGAAGGCGGTACCGTCCCCTCTTCGCCAAATGATGAAATCACCAGCAAAGGACGGAATTAAAACCGTCAACGGGGAGCAACACGCGGCAAGGGAAGTGTTCGCGTTACGTAACGTAGCGCCGACACCAATATCTCCACTCTCGAAAGAGTCAAAGGGTAATAAAACTATGTCTTCGGCTAAGCCCGATTAAACACAGCAGAGGGCCGTACAGAGTCCTCGCTCCGAACAACAAGGACAATCAGGTCTCGGAACATCGCCTGCGTACCCCGCGATAAGGTAAGACCACCTCCCTCTTTCGTTATTTTACACTAACCCATATGCAGGCGCCCGATCAGGGTGGTCGAAAGTGTTAACTCAACCCGAAGATCCCAAGGCCTTAATGGCATTCGTTGCACTCTTTCCCTTCGGCCGAGCTTTTGCCCTGAATAGGGTTTCGCCGGCAAGGTTCTTAATAGGGCAACGCGCTACCTAAGGAAGATCCGACAAGCTTGCAGGGCTTCTTTTGCAATCAACCACGAACACTCGAGGGCGCCCCATTGAGAGGTCGTCCACTTGGAGGAACCAGGGAACGACTAACTAAGTTCCAACAGGAAACAATGTACCGGGCCAAACGGTCAAATAAACCGTGTCCACATAACCCGGGCTCGCTGCAACAAAACAACATGTACTTATGCCAAACAATCAAAGAACATCTTTCGCCAAAGCATCTCGTACTCCAAAGAAAATTCAACATTTTCACTGCAAGGATCCCTCCGCCAAGGACGTTCGAAAATACTTGGAGACTAGCGCCAACAACTCGGCGCCCGCATGGCCTCAGGGTCGGGACTCCAAACTCATAAGCCCTCAATGAGGCAGCACAGAAAATACGAAATATCTCCAAAAGGGAAAATTGTCCCGAACACTCGGAGACTGACATCACAAACTCGGAAAACGCATGACCCCATGGTCGGAATCCCCAAAAAACGTAAGCCCTCAATGAGGCAACCCCGAGCTCGCGAGTAACGGCCCCTGAGCCTAAACAGACTCGATGACTCGGAGACTATAGCCAATCGCCATTCACTTAAAAATCCAAGGCCATAAGACCCGGAGCTGGCAAACTCGGTCTAGCAAGACCTATTTAATATAGCAACAAAAACTGTAAGCCTCAACAGGCATGACAAAACTGTAAGACTTCAACAGGTATGAAAAAATTGGAAGACCTCAACAGGCATGAAAAAACTATAAGACCTCAACATGCATGAAAATTTTGTAAGACCTTACTAAAAGCATAAAACTCGATCTCGAAGTTTAGGCTATATGTCGAATTTGTAAGACTCCCGAAAGGGCATACCCTCGATGTAGACGCCTAAACTACCACACTTGGAATCAAAAATGGTTCCGGCCAAACACAAATGGCTACGGTCAATACGGCTGCACCAGCCAAACTAACGCGACTCAGGGACGCCCGACCGTCGCTATAAAATCACAGGCCATTACTTCGAAAAGAACCGGTTAAACAGGCTACCCTCGACAGGCAAACGAGCTTCGACTATGTCAGCTCCAAATCACAAGGCTTCGAGCTACTCAGCCTACGAGCTAAACCTTCTGAGGTACTCGAACATCGCCGCAAACGACTTGAAATCGAGGTTCTTCTCGAACCGACGACGGGTCAGGCAAAATTATTTCAGAAAGTCCTTAACGAGAGGAAAGCAAAGCCTATATATGCCTAAGGGCAAAGCGTAAGAGCCATTGTCGCCAGCCTAATGAGCCTCAGGGTCACACACACTAAACAGTCGCAACGACCAAAAGCGTAAGAGCTACTGTCGCCAACTTAAAAATTTGAAAGCTTGAG